ATTAAAGTGGAAATGAAATGGTCAACTAAATTAGATTAATTTACAACATCATCAGTAAGACATAATCTCATAAATTACATTGATTTAGCTGACTGTTTAATTTCCATTCTAAATAGTTTCATTAAATGTAAAATATAAACAGAATTGTTTAGAATATTTTGCCGTGGATGCCGCTCTCTCGCAGTGCTCTAAGCGCTGACAAGAGTCGGTTGGTTCTGCCGCCGCCAGTTGAATATACCGGTAATACCTGCTATACCTCACAACCGTAAAATATTTAGGAAATTTGGGACGATGGAAGATGAAGCTGAAAGGCCGCTCCAGTATCCAAATCCCATTGCTTAGGCTTTAAAGCTCATTTGCCAAGTGACTCGAACTGTGATAAGGAGAGAAAGGGAAACATTTGGTGATGAAGTGCATGTGCTGTCAGGAGGCGGACCTGGATCACATACTGAACGGTGAATCATGTATTATCAATGTTTACATATTTAGGTTACTCTGCAGAGAGGTGGAGGTTTGGGGGCCTGGCCATTCTGCCACTGAAGGATGTCAGAGTGGAGACATCTGAGTGACTCAGGTTCAGGGATGAATGTTTCAGAGTTAGGGGCATAGTTGATGACCTAGTAACCACCAACACAGTAACTCTCCTCTGCCTGATTAGTGTGTTGGCTGGTCTATAGAGGCCAGCATATAGGTGGTGATATTAGGAACACTTAGATCAGCTTTAGATGTTCGTCCAGGGGACCACTAGCTAGCACGACTCAAAAGTCTTCAGCTCTAGAAAATCTCCACAACTGTCTCCTTAACTCCGTCTTTTCTCCTTACTACTGGTCGAGTCACACAGCGAATGGCCTCAGAAGCATGAGTGATCGAATTTAAACACTTCAGTGTCCTTTCAGTTAATGTCAGGTGTTGGATAGTAAACACAGCAAGTTGTTTTTTGTACTTCTACCATTTTCCGGCTCGAAATTTTGTAATCCTTTCTAATAAGGTTTCACTGAAAAAAACAATGCAACCTAGGAACTAGTGGTTCCTAGAATTTCTAAAAGTAGAATGGGAGGCAGATCTTTTAGTTATCAGGCTCCTCTCCTGTGGAACCAACTACCAGTTTTAGTCCGTGAGGCAGACACCCTGTCTACTTTTAAGGCTAGGCTTAAAACTTTCCTTTTTGATAAAGCTTCTAGTTAGAGTGGCTCAGGTTATCCTGAGCTATCTCTATAGTTATGCTGCTATAGGCTTAGACTGCTGGAGGACATAGGGACCCCTTTTTCATTATTCTGCTTCATTCTATCTCTATTCTCCCACTCTGCATAATCTGTTAGTTCAATCTCTAACGTTCTGCTCTCTCTGCTTTTTCTCATAGTAGCTTCATCTGGTCTGTTCCTGTTTGGCTGTGACTCCATCCTGGAGAGAAATATCAGCTGTGCTGCTGCCATCAACACCTTTGTTTCTAGATGTTGGAGCTTGGCCTGTTTTTCAGTGTAGTCCTGTTTCTCTGACTGTGACTAACTGGATGTGCTCTCTTCATCCTCTGACATGGGAGCTGGCTCGGAGCTCGTCTGCCTGGCTGTGTGTTTCCTGGACGGGGCCGCCTGTGGAGCTGGTTTACAGTTGCCTTTTGTATCTATGCTTCTTTTTCTATGTCTGCTTCTGTCTCCTTGAACCCCAGTGGGCCTCAGCAGATGGCCGCTCACACTGAGCCTGGTTCTGCTGGAGGTTTCTTCCTGTTAAAAGGGAGTTTTTCCTCTCCACTGTCGCTACAAGCATGCTTAGTGTGAGGGATTGCTGAAGAGTCAATGAGTCGATGCAATCAACTGGTTTTTTAGATATAAAACTTTGAATCAATCTGACTGAATGATCTAGTGAACTGTAAAGTGACCTGAGATGACATGATGTGAATTGGGGTTACAGAAATAAACTGAATTGAACAGAATTTAATCAACAGAACGTCAACATCTACAGAAAGAAAGGACATCCTGAGAAGAGCAGAACTCGGTAAATAACTTAATACCACTTATGTGAGAAGAACAAAGCTTTCCTCTGTAGCTTGCCTTAATGAACGTCAACTAGCTGCAGCTGCATCCACTTCACCGCTCCAAGCTTCGCACAGATCTCTGGGTCTAACTGATGGTAAAAGAACCAACTCCTCCTTTCAGGTTTAGTGCTACAGCTAATCAGAGGGGATTTAAAGGTAATGGTTGAGCTTTTACTCTAAACCCTCCTTCCCACTGAAAATAGCAGGTTAGCGAACATTAAAAATCTGCATTTGGCTCCCTTCCCATTGGAGAATAAAGCTGGGTCTAACCCCTGAAGGGCAGCTGTGTGGCCTCTGCGTGCCGCAGTCAGTGTGCGTTATTGTTTCTCTCTATAATCTGTCTGAATCCCTCTAACCAGAGCTGCTCCATGTTTATCCAATGTAAACAGAGTTGATTCTGCTGGTTAGATCAGAAGCCACTGGTTCAGTGTGTTGACGTCCGTATGTTGCATTCAATTGTGTTCCCACAGCATGCCCATCAGAGCCGTTTGACCTGGGTGGACGCGCGTCAGTGAACCACTGCCTCTAAAAGCCCATTGTTCCCAGGTTTAAACTGTTTTTTTGGCCAGTGTGAAAGGGGTATAATAGTCTCCAAACCCCACTATCCAACACCAGCCTGATTCTCTGCTCAAATTTGTCATTTCCAGCAAAGGCCTGATTTAAAATGAAAGATACGGCTGTAAAAAAGTGTTCTCCCTTGACAAATATTGTCATGTCAGTCCTGTATGGAAAGTACTAACTTACTTTCCTCCTTTGTTCTGGCTCCCTTTCTCCATCAGTGCCACTCACTGCCTGTCGGTGTCCCAGTGGAGTAAAAAAAGGCAGAGAGAGAAGAAGGAGGGAGTTCTGTTTGAGCGAGTGTAGCCCGTTGCCAAGTCTGGCTGCACTACAAAGGTTAGCACATCTGATTGTCAATAGTATCGTGTGGGTGGGAGGAAGGGAGGGAGGAGTCATGGAGGTGAAATGGGGGAGGGAGGGGGAGGTCGCTTTGAGAAAAAGAGATACTTTGATATTTCGGAATGTTAGAAGGGTGAATGTGGAGAACAGGAGGTTGGGGATCTAATTACCGGGCCATAATTGGGGGCTGGGGAATAGGTTGCCGTCCTCTCAACTCACTGCAGATCAATTATGTTAAGAGAACATCTGTAAGTAGTGCTTAATGAGGTCCATTAGAGCAACATGCGCTGCCTTCCCTAACGGTGCTTGTCAGCTTCTAGGATGAGCTGAAGTGTGCTGCCGACTGGGGACCTGGTAGAGGGGCTTAAATAGAAGGGGAGGCTCAACGTTGGACCACTTTTCCTGTCAGAGAAGGAAAGAGACAGAGATACGGCGTAAATAGAGGGAGAGGGGGGCGCTGGTATGGATAGGAGCGACTTCCAGGCAGCTTGGATGATTTCCCAGCAATAACTCGCTTGCTAAGGTTTCTCTAGAAGATCAGGAATGAGCTCAGCTTGAGAGAGTTTCCTCGTGGACAGTTTGTTTACAGGTTAGGAACATCTGCATCCTTTAACATCCCAGGCTGCATCCCAGTTCAAGGTAGGAGCCAGGACACCTCCTGGATTACTCTGACATGCATGTGTCTGTTAACATGCAACCAAACACGGCCTCTTCTAGACTGGCTTCCTCTCAAAGCTAAAGCAAGGTTAGAACAGAGAGGCGCCTTCACAGGCCTCCCCTTTCCCTCTAGGATGCTGCTGCCTCCAGCTTCCATTCACAGAGAGGATGACTTGGCTAATTGAAGGTAGAGGGGAAATGGGAGAGGTGTGGGAGCGCTCTCTCTCCCCCATGCACACACACTTCAGCAAATTGCATGATTACAGAGATAGGCAGTCTTAAAATAATTCAATCCATGACAAAACCTAATTACTGGCAGGTAATACCCTGTCAGCTTTAATGCATCTCATCACTCATCACAGCACGCAGAGCGTTTTATGGCCCATCTTATTACCGCCGCAGTTTAGGCTCAAGCTGCATGCCAGCTATTGACTTGTCTCCTCCTCCTCCTGCCGTCTCCTCCTCCTCCTCCTTCTCTGGGCTGGAGCGTTAAAGAACAACCTGCATTTATTGGGAATTAGAGCACCATGGGTGTGCAAACACACGTCAGGAAGTGACTGAGAGCCTCAGCCGCAGCTTTATGGTCAAAATTGGGCTGAAATGGATGAAAAATGAGGCAAATCTTCTAACTGAATAATGAAAAAGGAGCAATCGTGACAAGTTGGGTTATCGTCATTTATTTGAAGTGTGATCATGTAGCAATAGATCTATGCTGAAAAGGATTGAGTTTAGATAATAGACAAGAGATACAGTTTATTTATTCAGGAATTAAAGGAAAAGTCGCTCATATTCAGAATTCAAACTTCTGAAAGTGAACTTATTCCATCCTGTTCAATAAATGATCAGTGTTTTTTAATTCAGAGTAATTTTCATGTGAATGTGCTTTACTGGAGGCATCCATGTTTGTCAAAGAACACTACTGCCACCTACTGGTTAGTGACGTATCGGCTGTTGATCAAGTCCCAGTGCTGTATCTGGTGTTTGTCACAACGCGCTATTATCCAAGTCATCAAGGTATAAATTATAATAATAATGATTCCGGACTTTTTTCTTTAGCCTTTTAGAAGCTCTTCTAAAACAAGACAGTGAACCAGTGATTGCGAAACTAATCTGAGTGAATAGATCTATAGTTATTCTGAAGATAAAAGGAGTGATAAGCAGATTTTATTTTATTATATATATATTTTTTTGCAGATTCTGGTAAATGTGGAAGAATAAAGAAGTCAGAAAAGCAGAAACTGGAGGCATTATTTTTTTTTAATTTTGTTACTGATTTAAGTTGTGGTTGAATTGCGTCCGTCTGAGCTCCGGGATGACGCATGTATTGTGAATTGGCGCTATAGAAATGAACTGAATTGAAAGGAAATCTCATTATTTCCAGCAATGATCGTTTATTTTTCGCAGAGTTGAACCTTTAGCGCTTTGTTAGGACAGTTTGCGTCATGAACGTTTCTAACTGATCCAACATTGAATGAAGAGCAGCTGATGGGAGGCTGGTCCTCGCGGCGCGCGGCAGGATCAGAGGCTCTGCGCATCGCGGTGGGGGGGGGGCGTTTCTTTGTCATCCTGTCATTTGAGGCCAGCTCCTCGCGGCAGCAGACCTGCTCCCACGCGCCGTGGCCAGCGGTGATCAGCAGCGGACCCGTGGCAGCTCCGCTCCCCATCTCCGCGCTAACAAAGCCCGCTCTGCGGACCGGACTCTGCGGCTTTAGGTCGGATGGTGCTTCGGCGGCTCAGCAAATGCAGAAAAGGGAGCAAAGTTTCGGTAAGAAGCTGTTTGATTTTCTGAGGAATTCCCTGTTTTTCTCCGTGGAAGGTGCCGCGACCTGCTTCTCTGCCATCCTTCCGCCCCACGGCCACGGAGCCTCCATTTCCACGGTGTTTCCTGGCAGCTCCGCAGCCTGTTTGCTTTTTAAAATGTGGATTTAGGATGGAAGTGGCTGCGGGCTGCCTGCACACTGATGGGGAAATGTCAACATGTTTGCATGCAGCTGCAGCTGCGCATCCAGCTGCAGCTGCAGCTGCTCCATCACTTTACTGAGAGTCAGGATTTTATTGCAAACTTCCCTTCAGTCAAAGAGGAAAATCCTTTCATCGCCTCCAACTCTCAGCCTGCAGGAGGGGGGGTGCTTTGCTTTGCTAATGACTTGCAGGACTTTGTAGTGCTAATGAGGTGGACTGATCAGGCAGGCCAAAATCCAGCCAATTAACAAATAAGCACAGGAACAAATGAGCTCAAATCTTTCATTTTGCACATTTTTTTTTTTCCTGCATTAAACACGTTTTAATTGGCAGGAAAAAAAAAACTTCATGTTTTTTCCATTTTTTATTCTTTTTGCTGCTAACTGTGATATTTTGTCATGTTTTCCTGCCTGATCAGATGCAGTGGGTGTGATGTTAGGAGTCAGATGTGTCTTGTAGTGATAACTGCATTCACATCCATCATAACCAGGGGCCACGGGGCCCCTGGTGGGAAATTTAAATCAACCACGTGCTGCAGAGTCATCATTTAAAAACCCCAAAACAAATTAAAGTAAAAGGTCTTAATTACATTCACTAAAACTTTAACAGTCCAGTGTTGGTTTAATTAAAAGTTAGCCACACTAACCTGCTTTATTTGAAAGAAGAAAGTGGTGTGTGTGGTGGGGGTGTAGGTGGGGGTGTGGTGAATGGGGCACAAAGGGAAGTGAGGCTGTGGTGCTCCTCAGGGAATGAAAGGAGAATACTAATTTAAAGCCTTATTGTGAGACGCCTCCTCTCACCCACAGGGCCAACAAAGGCTCTCCCCAGTGAGCCCAGGCCAAACAATGCACAGCACTGCCTGGGACCCCGCCCCTTTACACACACACACCATTCAAAAGGCCAGAACCGTAGCTTTGTGTGTTTGCCTGCTGGTCTAAACGGTCCTGCAGACAGTTGCTTTGGGATGATCTTATGTTGGACGGTCCAACCCGCTCCATGCGCTGCTGTTTCAGTCCAGATGAGGAAGACGCTCTCCTCCGTTTCTATTCTGATGCGGCTCCTAAACACAGCAGCCTGTTCAAAACATTCAGGAAAGTAGGAAGGACAGAAGCAGGGAACGGCAGCATCAACATCTTAGAGAAACACAAAGAAATGGGATCCATTAAACAGACTTTTAGGCTGCGTTCACACTGCAGCATCCCGGCAGAATCCTCTCCCTATTAATATTTAATTCCCAGTTATAAAAATGTGCCGATCATTCTTTAATAAGAGCCTCATCATACGGACATGCAGTGTTTGTTTTTAAACCCAATCCAATTATTTTTATTGATTTTTGTGCCCATCTGTGACCTGGATCTGATCTTTTCATGACGGTCTGATCAACACAGATCTGATATTTTCCAATCCAGGCCACTTGGCTCTGTGGTGCTGAATCCGATGAGAATCTGATCTCTTCTAATGCAAACCTGCGTCTGAACGGCCAGATCGCATTTATCTGAAAATCAGGATTGAGCATCAGGGCGAGCAGCGTGAAGGTTGCCCTATAGTCTCCTGTTCCACGCAGAGAGAGCAGAATAACTCCACTGTTTCCACGGAACATTTAATGCATCTCCATTTTCTTTAAAAACAAATTATATTTTTTCTCAAAAGACATTAGTTGAAATTCAGACTGAATTATTTAGTAAAGAAATTGTAATTGCAATTATTTTTCAACCAATTGCTTTTTTATTTTTCCCTTGCATGAACCCTAAGCTAGTAGATGTTTCTCCTCAGACTTGCACAGAGTCCTTTGTTGCAGGTGCATTAAGAAGAATAAACTATATATATATATATATATACAGTATATCAAGATAAATAAGGATTAAGGTGCAAGTGTACATGTATTGCACACAATGAAAAACAAAATAAAATAACAATAAGAAATAAAAAATAAAAAGATTAAAAAATACAAGGTAGTAGCACTAAATTACTGCCACCTATAGGGCTGGAGGGAGACATGTAGTGTCCGGCATAGAGCGATTAAAATTGGAAGCTTCTGCAATTTCAAAACTGCTTCTTTGTTAAATCGTGATTATATTGCAAAATGAATTAATTGCCCAACCCTGGATGAAATGTCCATTTATTTACTTTTGTTCAGATGCAAGGAAGCATAAATCTAACATTGTTAGAAGAAATATATTTTAGCCGTAGATTATTAGCTTTCATAAGCAAATTCTTTGTTTTTTTTTTGTTTAAGAACGTTGTTTCAAATATTGTTGTAACTTTGATAAATAAAACCTCAAACCTCTGACCGTCCCTTCAGCTTTATTGTCTAATTTAGCTTCAGTTTTTGGTGTCCCTGTGTGTGTAGTAGGTAAATAACCATATATAGGGTTTGGGAGCGCGCCACTGCTTCAGTGTTTAACGGCTCCGTCTTTCCTTCCAGGTATACAAATGCTCACCGTCCAGCCGGACACGAAGCCAAAAGGCTGTGCCGGCTGCAGCCGGAAGATCAAGGACCGCTACCTGCTGAAGGCTCTTGATAAATACTGGCATGAAGACTGCCTGAAATGTGCGTGCTGTGACTGCAGGCTGGGTGAGGTGGGCTCCACGCTGTACACCAAAGCCAACCTCATCCTGTGCCGGAGAGACTACCTACGGTAAGACAGACCTGGCAGCTCCGCTACTCTCTGCGCTGCAGAGATTCTGCTTCCCCATTCACATTTGGTTTGTTTTTATTTTCTCAGTGAAGAGCAGAAAGTTTAAGTTTTCCCTAAATGAGTCGTCTGTTCAGACGATAGACAGCTTTTGTCTGATTGATCATTTCTTTCTTTTATTAAGAAGTTCCTTGATTGTATTTATTTTTTCAGGAATAATTCTCTTTTCTATGTGAATAATATCTTTCCATTTCAAAATCATTGTAATGGTTAAGAAAAATACAAGAATTTTCTGAAAATTCTACAAAATGCTTGATGATCATCTTCATCGCCAGCAGTCTTAATTGGACGTGTTTGTGCAGGTTTCCTATTGCAGAACATGAGAATCTCTAACCTGCCTCTATACGGCGTTTCCGTCTGGTTAGGAGCTGGATTTTAATGGTGGGACTCGATGGTTCCGCCTCATCAGGTCAGGACCAATCAGATAAGCGCAGGTGTAGCAACGCGCTCTGTTTCTCTAATTCTGTGAAAAAAGATAAGCTGTAAAGGAAACTTCTGATGTTTTTCCTGAAAGTGCTGCTCTCTATTACGACTTTAATTTTCACTGCAACATTCCTCGAGTCGAGTCGCAGCTTGTTGTTATGCTAGCAGAAAAGCTCAGGTGCACTATGGGTAATTGTACTTCATGTCTCTACCCGATCTGTCCTGGAAACCTGATCCATCCTGCGTCTGCGTGAACAGAATAACTTCCTGGTAGGCATTATTTTGTTTTTCCTTACTTTTTTCTTTTTTGTCTTTTTTTTTTTTTTTTATTTGCGTAAATATTAAATTTTCTAAAAACAAAAAAACTGGACACATAAAAAAACACTTAAACAGCCTTTGGAGCGTTACTGTGACTGCTCTGATGCAGTTCAATGGAGAGAATGGAAAACGGATCCATTTCTTCCAGGAAAGTCTTCAATAATTTCTAAATGATGTAGTTCAGCGTTCTTTAATGTTTTAAGTATATAAATAAATATTCTCAGTACCGTTATTACATCGTTCTGGGTTCTTATTATTCTGATCGCGCTTACACAGGACGGACCGAGCTTCTGGACGGATCAGGTAGGGACCCTGCAAAGTCCCGCCTCCCTCTCTGTGATTGGTCCACCCATCTCTGACCAAAGACTAGACTGAATTATGGTAATTTAGTCCGGTTGGCCTGGATAGGGAATCTCATAAACGATGCAACAGAAATTAATAAAATATTCTCAGGATTTATGATTCAGCAGCTTGTTCTGATCGTGATTTCTTTGATTTATATAAATGTTAGAGTTAAAATTGTAGCATCAGAAATGAACAGGATCCTCCTGAAAGCAGCAAAAAGTGAAGCTTTCTGTTTTCCCTCCATTAGTTTTCTTTAAAGTGAACTTCGTAGGGTTTCCTCAGGTGGTTTTCAGATGGCATGTTTTTCATTTTACCAATTGTGTCATAAATAAACACAAATTCTTAAATCTACTTAACAGAGTTACATTAAATTAGTTTATTGATCCTTCCTGTGAAATACTTCATGGTCTTGGATCGTTCATCTACCGTATATAATCTCTTGTTTTGGGTGATATTGTCCAAGTGATGCAAGCTGGATTTATTCTTCTAGTGTTTTTTGTATGGATTGAAAAGCTCTAATATACAGTTAATAATTTTAAGATAGAATGTTTTGTTGGATTTGAGGATTTAAATCAAGACTTGAGTATATTGTTTATCAGGAACATATTCTATTATGTGCAATAGCCCCGTTTCCACTGAATGCCCCAGGCTTTAACGCCCCACGCATTCTTTTATCCCAATCATAGGAAGTTAGCCTCAGTTTTAACAGGAACCACTCAGCCTGGGTCCTGTTAAAGGAAGTTTTTCCTCTCCACTATCGCTGGATGCATGCTCGGTGTGAGGGATTGGTTAACCAGCTGGTTTTCCTTTCAATCTGAATTTATGATTAGATTGGGTGAATAATGGGCCTTTAGGGGATACGTGTTGGGAACTGATGCTATAGAAACAAAGTGAACTGAATGAAACGGTTAATCCTTGGACTCCAAACTCAGCTGTTCACGGACTAAAGATAAAGTAAAATATAGCTTAAGGAAAAACTAGTGCATTTTGAGTTGGATACATTCATTGAATTGATTGTCTGCTCATCTTTGCCGACTTATAACAATATTTAAGTTGAACTTTTCCACAGACTGAAAGTTGGTGTCTGCAGGTGGACTAAAGGCTTCCACTGTTTAGAATTATTAAGAATGGGAAGAGATGCTGTTTTGCAATCAGTTGATTTGCAGCATCTTCTGCCAAACTAAATGAGATGGAGATTCATTCTTTTCCTCCAAAAATTCACCAAACCCGACGTAACGAGGGTTAATTGAATTCTTCAGGGGTCTGCAGCCCTGACTGATGCATCCAGCTAGCAGCTGAGAAACAACAACAAAAAAACAACAAAGAAGGGAAACACAAGCACAGCGTTATGCTAAAACATTTCCTGTCCACAGTAAGACGCGTTTGATTTCTACTTTTATAGCAGATCTAAACATAATTAAAAGTTGAATGTGTTGGAGGCTGATTGATGTTCCACTGAACATCATTTATTAAATTAAGATTGTTCAATCAGTAGATCTTCCCTTTCCAACAGTGGTGATATAATCTATTTATTCTCATGTAGTTTGCAGAACATGAAACTGATAATGATGGAGGACGGCGGTCCGATTCACACTTTTAGGTAGAAAAGAAAAAGCTAAGGAAATAGATCACAGCTGCAACTAATAATAATTTAGCAAATTGATTCATGTGTTAATTCTTTTAATCGATTAATAATCAGATAGAAAAAGGTTTATTAAAGGAGACTTTTTACAAAACATAAACTAAAACTTTTCTACCCGACAGGTTCTGGATAGAGCAGATTGAAAAAAGAGAATTCAAATGTTTATACTTTTTCCACATAATTCCTGCTCTAAGTGCATCACTCTGTCAGCTAAAGGCCTGTTTTAGAGTCTCTATACTCTACATATTATTCTGAGAACTGGGAAGAATATCCCAATATATAGTGATATAGCGATATTTTGTCATGCCGCATATGGTATGACCACAGCCATGCCAATACTCACCCCTACATTTGATCTTAAAGCCAAAACTACATAAAAGTTGGTTTAAACTAAATTAAAAAAGCTCACTATGAGACTTTATTTTAACTGCTTCTTTTTTTAAGGATTATGCTCCTTTTTATAACTGCATGTAAACATCAGTGAATCAACTCAAGATTTATCTTCCTTCATCACAGAAGCTCCAACAGAAAAAAGCTGTAATAAAAAATAAAAATCCACAGACTTTTATAGAATCTGATGGTTTGAAAGGTTGGCGATTCTGATGGCGATTTCAAAGGTTCAGGACTGACGGGATTTATCTATTCTCCTCGACGTCTGTTTACCTAAAGCTGAATGATCTGAGCCAGCTAAGAGAGAGAACACTGGAAAAACCATCTAGAAATAAGTACAAACTTCTTAAATTAAGTGCATTTACCCTTAATTTGAGCAGGTTAATGAGATGATTTTCCAATGGAATGAGTATTTTTACTCTTAAA